AAAGATTCTATTTCTCCAAGTTCAAAATGAAAAAAGATGGACTGACCTTTGATCATCACCCCAAACTGTAAATAACTAACCACTAGAACCCACTGAGCCCTTCCTAAGGGACCACTGACAACTCACACCAGCAGTCACACTTCTGAAAGCTGGCAGCTGCAGCAGCCTCACTCACTGGCCACCCTCCAAAACCAAAGACCAAAGTATCCCTTGACATCCTCACTGCTGATTGTCCCCCGATCCCAGAACCCTAGAGTGGACAGTGAAATACTCTGTGCAGAGGGGCTGTGCCCTGCAGCCTTGCTCTCCCTTGCTTAGCTGGCAACACATTCAGCTGTTGAGAGTGGCAGCTCGTTCTCCAACAGTAGGAATTGATTCAGAAGGCAAGAACTACAGGCAGTGAAGGCTCACAGCGAAGGAAAAGAGAAAGAGAGCATATAAACATATGAGAGCCGGCAAGGGGCGGTGGCTCACGCCTGTAATCCTAGCACTTTAGGAGGCCAAGGTAGGAGGATCATTTAAGCCCAGGAGTTTGAAAACAGCCAGAGCAACATAATGAGACCACATTTTCACACAAAATTTTTCAAAGTTCCCCCCAAAATTTTGGGGCCAGGTGCAGTGGCTATAATCCTGTAATCCCAGCACTTAGAGAGGCTAAGGTGAGAGGACTGCCTGAGCCCACAGGTTCAAGATCAGCCTGGGCAACTTGGCGAGACTTCATCGCTACAATAAATCAAAAACTTAGCCGGCAAGGTGACGTGTGCCTGTAGAAACAGCAACTTGGAAGCCTGAGGTGAACAATCGCCCGTGCCCAGCAGGTCTAGGATGCGGTGGCCAGGAGTGTGACACTGCACTCCAGCCAGGACGACGGAGTGAGACTCCAGCTAAAAAAAAAAAAAAAATTGGCATTATTGACAAAGCACTACATAGAAGAAAACCATGTTTTCTTCTCATGTATATTAGGAAGAAAAATGGAAAATGAGGAAAGAACCCACCTTGAGAAGTTGAAAAACTACAGGAAAATAAACTCAAAGAGAGCTGAGGGGGAGTATAAAAAAGGCAAAGCAGACACTGGAATAAGCATGCAGTAAGTAGACACAGTCACAGCTGGGCCTAAAGAGATAAGCTCTGGTGACTCTTGCTCAAGGGGGAGAAAAGAGAAGGTGGAAACAAGCGGCCTTAGCCGTGACCATCAGCCATCAGTGAGATAGTGAGATCCTGCAGACACTGTGCGAGCAACATCTCTGCAAGGGTTCACATCCTGTTTCCTGTGGGATGGAGTAGCTGGTGGGGATGAAGGGGTAGCTTTCACTGTGTTTCTTTCCATGTTTAATTCTGGACCATGTTATCTTCTACTTACTTTTCAAAAGAACATAAAATCAAACCTAACAGAGTCAAGTTGGTTTTCCTTAGGGTGGGGGCATGATGTTCAGTGTGTGTGTGTGTGTGTGTGTGTGTGTGTGTGTGTGTGTGTGTGTGTGTGTG